CAGGTGCAGTCTGTGTTTGGCAGCATTTAAGGGCAGAGATACTGGCAGTCTGATCCCCGACTGTTGAAACTAGCCTTTGACACATGGAAAAGAGCCTGAACTAGTGTTTGAGATTGAAAGATATTGTCCGGATATAGTTGGGCTCACCTAAAAACTGGCAAACTGTAAGGCAACCCAGGAGGGGAGAGTGTTGCTATACTCACACGGTTTATAGTGCGAGTGGGATGCTGCTGCCTTCAACTGAGTTGTATAGTTGGGTGGTGGAAGGAAGACTGCAAGGTTCTTCTCAACCCCACTGACACGCTTTCCATAGAGAAGGCAGAGAATAGGACAAGGGGGCGAGATTACTTAAGTAGTTCAACAAATTTTTCTGTGCAGGGCCCAGAGTAGATTTAGCTGATTACCTGAGTGAGATTCACGCTGACATCTTTGATGGACTAGATGTTGTGTGGCTGTCTGGGTGATACACCTCTGCAACATTTTTTATGATGACCCATGGTGATGCTTACGGACTGGCAGAATTGGGTGGCGGTTCTCATCTTTAAGAAGAGAGGCCAGAGGGTGTGCTTTAATTATAAGGATATCATAGTACTCCCTGGGAAGCGCTGCACCATTTGGCAAACCTCAGGTTAGGGAGGAAAAGGACAGATCTCATTCTGATCATGGAAAGCTAAACCAGCTCTTTTCCAGAGTTGTCATGCGTTGGAATTCTGTTCATAATTTTTATGGACAGAATTTCTAGGCAAGTGGCAACCAGGACCCATAGACCCATTGATTGTGTGCGTTTCACTTTATAGGGACTTTCTCTTTAGCATCTATGCATTCGTGTTTGGATGTTTTTACTGGCACAAACAATTTCCAAAATACAAACAGTGACGTGTTTTTTCTTTTTAGAATTTAGAAATAAAATGAAATATTTTCAAGACAAATCTCTGTTGAACCAAACAATTTAAACTGCTGCCAACAATTTATATGAACAGAACTGAAAAACTACCCTTGTCTCCTCTCTGAGTTCTTACTCGAAGCTGAAAAGGGATTGTAACCTTGGTGTATTTTCACTCTTATCAAACAATCTTGTTCATATCCAGATCAGCTATTTAAGAGATGAAAGAGCTAACATCTTTCTAAAAAATGTAACCAAGTGGAGTTTTAGTCGTCCTAACACTTCCTATCACCTTTTCTGTAAATTGAAACTTGCAAAGTCTTACCACTTAGTGTTAGAAGAAAATCTTTCATAAAAGATAGAGATACATGTTTATGTGTGCACATATATTTTGGCCATGCAGACTACCAGATCCTGACTGCTATTAGGGGATAAACACAGACAGAGAGGTTGTGGTTTACTCAAAGGAATGTGAGGTGTTAATCCCACATGTATGTCCTGAAACCCACCTTTCTCTTTGTCTCTGTTCTTTCTCTACTCTCCTCTTCTCTCTGCTCTTCCTTGTACTTCCTTGTGTTTTGAAAACGTCTCACAAATTGCAGATTTCAAGATAACTCAAAGAGTTTAAATGCCAAGTTGAGTAGAAAGTTTGTGTAAGTGGAGAATATGTGTGTGCTCACGCTACTGTATGTGTGAGCATGGTTGTGATAGAGGCCCTCTGTTAAACCAACAGAGACCCAGGAGGTCTTTGGACCCTCTTTTGTCTGTCCTCTCTGTATCCTGCAGGTATGCATGCAGGGCCACTGTGGAAACAATACAATTAAAAAAAGCACATTTCAGTGTGACTTCAGGGTAACTTCAGACACTGCTCCCCACCAACTTCAGATACCCCATAGCTATATAAATGTCCTCACCCCTTCACAAAGAGTGTGAAGGAAACTTGAAAGGGAAACATAGTAGTCATTTTTAAGTGAATCATCTATTAATAAAAATGATGATAGAAGATAAAAAATGTACTCCTTTGAGTGAAAGAGTGTTTTCTTTTTAATATCTCTTTCTCCTCAAGCTTTCTCTGTCTCTCATCTGCTCTCTCCCTCTTTCTGTCGCCGGTTGTTTTGCACAGGGAGGAATTGCTTGGTTGTAAAGCATCAACATGTCCGACAGCTGTGGGGCAGATTTGCAGCTCTGTGTGTGTGTGTGTGTGTGTGTGTGTGTGTGTGTGTGTGTGTGTGTGTGTGTGTGTGTGTGTGTGTGTGTGTGTGTGCCGGGGTCGTCCGTTGGCAGGAAGCAGTAGGCAGCAAGTGATGTGGTCAGACCCTCTGTCACCAGAGACAGAGCGAGAGAGGTCCGATGTCTGTCTCTCCTTCTCTCTCTCTCTCTTGCTTTCTTCTTGTCGTCTTCCTGTTACTTGTTTTCTTTTCCTGATCATCATTCTTCATTAGAGGAAAAAAAAACACAAACAGAAGGAAGCTCATTTAGGCCTCTGAGGGCTGATACTGATGATTGTCAGACTAGTACTCATATCATGTACACTCGGTTCCTTTCAGTTTAATGTCAGTCTGCATTCTAGACTAAAAAGTCATACGCTTCCAGACAAGAGAATAATCAAATTTATTGCCCTCAAAAATTCATAGTATGAATGGAGAATTTCTCATTTATGCAAAAAGAAAAATCAAAGTCAAAAACTATTTCATTTAGTCTCTTTCTCACACTCATTCTGCATATATTTTTATATATTGTGAAGTTCTAATATACTTGTTGATTTAGTTTCCGATCTTATACTTACCTACTGAATTTCATGTCGTAGAGGAAAAAAACACTTCTGCAACCTGAGCAAAAAAACGTGAAAATCCTGAGAGGAACAGAGGCTTTAAAAGGGGAAAAGTGATGGAAAAACTAGAGTTAGAGGTCAGTGTGGAAAATCATTTTTGTAAATACAATGTGGAAATCAAAGGGAATGAGGAGAAAACGAGGAGAGGAGGGAGGCGAATGAGTAGGAGGTAAATTGAGGGAGTCAGGGGGACAATTAGATGGGAATTTCCAGTGTTAGTAAGAGAGTGAGCTTTTGTTATAACAAGCCGAATGAGTGAGAGCTGTGCGTTATTTTATGTATGCCACTGAACTGGTAGCTGAGAGAGGATGTATAGGAAGAAAAAAGAAAGACAGTAGATACAAAATGTATAGCAAGAGAGAACTGAGCGAAAGCCGTTGTCTTACTTACACCTGTGGACTGTATAAATGATGCATGCATAGCCATCGTAATATCACCCGTTGATTTTGGACTCTTCATTTTGAAAACTTATTCTGGCTGCTGCTGTCTTAGTTAATTCATTTGAAAACAGCACCAGCACTGCAAACACTGCCAAGAAGCAGTAAAGGTGAGGCCTGGCAGACGTCCACTAGCTACAACATCTATCAAACTATCCAAAGGCCAAAATCATTTTTGTAGCAGGTTCTTTTTAAATGCTGCAAAGTTGGGCATTTCAATATATCAATCTTTAAGGGCCGACTTGGTTTCAGAGCCAGCCTGAAATGGCCATTAGAATAACTGCAGTTTTCACATAGGCTTAATTTTTCCCCATGTCAACTATAGCCAGAAACATCTTGCCATTGAGAGCATATTTTACAATAAGCAGCAGAATTATCCTGATGAGAGAGTGTATTGTTTTACTTAGAACCTTTGGGTATTATATAGAACAGTTTCTCTTTTGTGATCTACAGCCAGTGCCGCTGTAGATCCAGTCTGTCAGCTATTGTCTGATGACTTAACGTCCGGAAGCAAAGACCAATATTTTTGTGCTTTCAGTGAAGCCAGAAGAGATAAGATTTCCTGTTCTGTCATCTACTTGTTGTTTAGGAATGTAGATGTATTAAAAAGTTAAGTGGCTGTAAGGCAATAGTTGTTACAGTTAGTACACTTTGTTCTTCAAAAGAAATATCTACCTGCATGCAACCAGAGCCTGCTAAAGTGTAAAGGGTTACTTGAGCTAAACAATGAACACCAAACCACTTCCAGTGGTGAAGTTGGTGTTTGTCAGTTGCAGATTGATTATACATATTCATATGCTGATATCTGTTTATAGATATTACCATGTGTTTTAAAGGTAACTACAGTGTTGTCTTTCAGTGTCTTAGTTTCCAGTGACATATCCTAACTTTAGTTTATTTGCCTTAATGTCTTTACATTCAAATCTCCTCCAGAATTACTTTGACCAGTGATGGCAGCCCTAAGGAGATAAAGAAGAGTTCCTTACATTTAGGATACAGTGGATACAGCGTATTGTCCTTAAAATAAACCAGTTGTAATTGCTTGAGTTTGTTCTTTTTGCCCTTTCTTCTACTTCCCTGTCAGACATGTGCAATCGCACGTGAGCCAATAAGGCAAAATTCATTTTCTATTAAAACAGAAATGAAGTCATTGTAAAACGTAAAAGAAAGAAAGACAGCGGGAGAAGCATATGGAGAAAGACAGAGACAGAGAGCAAGTTATTTGAAGGGGAAGATGCAGAGCGACAGAGAAAGGGTGAGAGACAATAAAAGAGAGAGAGAGCGAGAGAGAGAGAGTACTTTTAAGTTCTTTTGCAAGAGCAGCAAGAGCAAACCAGTCCTGCCCCCTAGAGGTATACGCAAAGTGTGTGTGTGTGTGTGTATGCGTGCGTGCGTGTGTTACTGTGTGTGTTTAGCTGAGGAAGAGAGGGATGTCCTGTGACAGTGACTCAAAGTTTCCTCCCCCAATACATGCACACACGCATGCACACACTCTCATGCACACATATGTTGTTGTTGTTTACTCCTTAAATGCTTTGAATGGACACACTCACAGAGAAAGAAACTCCTAAACACAAAAAAACACACTTATATTCATACATAATCATAATCACTGCAAAAAACAAAACAGGCAGGGGGACAAAAGGCTGTGTTTTCAGTGTTGTGTGCATGTCGGCGTCTCTGTGTGTGTATAGCTTATGGCCTCAGGTGAAAGCACATGCTGCTTCCTTCCAAAGAAAAGTTGGTGTGTGTGTTAGGAAGGAGAGAATGAGGGGGGTGGAGCCAAGAGGAGGAGCTATAGACTTTGTCTCGCACATACACTCACTTCAGAGTACACACACTCGCATTAGTGTGGATATCAGCACCCGGAGCTGGAAGGACAGAAGGAGCGGAGAACTACTGCACCTGTCCCACGCACACACGCTATCTTCACAGACATACAGGGAGAAAGGATCTGACCGGACGTCCCTATGTGTGGATGGGACCAGAGTTATACAGTAAGTGTGGAGCATTCGTTTGTATGCTCAATTTTTTTTTTACATTTTTACTAAAAGATACAGAAGAACAAAGATTGATTTTTTGCTTTTGTATTTTTTGCTTTTTTTTTTCTTCTTTTAGTTTTAGAGAAACTAAATAAAAATTTCAGAATTTAGAGTAGAAATAAAACTTTAAGAGTTTTTTATGTGTGTGCTTTTTAATCCAGTTTAATATACTTTTAAGCTTATTTTAATCTCATTTTCAGCCTTGTTTTCTGAACATTAGGACGATTTTTAATTAGAAATTTGAGGTTGCAACCAACGTGACTTCATTTTTCTAATAAGATTTTTCTTAAAATGGTTAGCTGCTGCTGCAGATGCTTTTACTAGTTTGAAAAACTGAGGTATTACAATGTTTGTTTAGCAGCTCAGTTATTTTCACATATTTGACATATTTTCTACATATTTTTACAAATCAATCGTTGTTTATTCATAGAAACGTGTTTTTTTTTTTATCAGTGTTGTTTTTTTTTCCCCCACATGAATTTCAGAAAAAAACAGTCTTGGCATGATTCCTCATGTCTGTTTTTTCAAGTTTTTAGAATTTAATGTTGTTATTTAATGTCATTTTAATGTGAAATCTGGCTGCCTGTATGCAGATTCGCCTTTTACATATTTTTCAGTTGCTCTACATGTGCAAACAGTGAATTGTTTCTTGGTTCTTGGTTTCACTATTAGTTTTCAATGTTGCAGCTGTTATGCAAAGTAAATTCAAGAGAGATCAAATATTGTATTTTCATAACTGATCACTTTCAAGTGATCTTCATTTTAATAACAAATTGGGAAGAACCTGTTGTTCGCTTGGCGTATCCTTTGTAGTAAAAAAAAAAAAAATCTAGCCGCTGATTGGGAAAAATCTTTCTCGCTGGAGTTTTTATTGTTTTGCTAGTCAAAAATTAGATTTTGTGGTTTTAAGATACTTAAATGTATTTTGGGTGATTTGCTTTGTTACAGCCTGGCAAGTCAGACTGTTACAGTCAACATACTTTAAGATTCTGGGTTTAGAAACTACTTTTTGATTGCAATTCTGGAACAGGAAAGTCAGTTGCATTGGTTGCAAGTGCTCAAAAGTCTATAAAAGTGTTCAAATTTGAAAATATAAGTCTACATTTTCAGTAACTAAGGGTGTTTATAGAGTTTATTTTCATGTATCACTTTAGTATCTGTGTGCTGACTGTTTAAGCACAAAGTTGTTGAATGTGAGGGAAATATTCTTTTTTGTGGCTTCAGAAGCATTTGCAGACCTGAGTGTGCTCACTGAAGATCTGCTGCTTTCTGCTGCTCTGCGTGGGACAAGCAGCATGTTTGTCCCTTTGTGGATATCTGCCTGTCCCTGTATGTGTGTGTGGGATTGTCTTGGGTGGGATCACGTTTGAAGTTTTGTTTGCGCTGCTGTGGCCCCCCAAATGGAAAAGTTTTGACGCTCCCTTCCTCATCACTCCCCCGTCCATTACTAACATACATACACACACAAGCTGGGAGTCGGGATGATTTGCCGGTTCCGCTGCAGTGCCACTCTGCTTCCAATTTTAGCTTCATTCAGACACAGACAGCATTTCCTTCCTCTGTCTTCAACCCCAGGGAGAGACACGGAGGAGGGGGAATTAAGAGGGAGGAAATACGGAAGATGTTAGCGTCACATAATCTGAGTAGATTCATCACATTATCCAGCAAAGTCCAAATTTCTTACATGTGTAAGCTAGTTAAGCTCTAAGTTGCAGTGTCGTTGTCTTTCTGAGTAAAAGCATGGGAGAAAACGACCGCAAACAAAACAGGAAAACTTTCTTTGCTTCAGGAAAAGAAAGAAAGTTAGAGACAAAGAGGTCACTTGGAAAGTTTGCTCAGACCGTTAATAACTTTTTGTTGTATTGTTCTTTTAAAAAACGGGTCGATTTTTTGAGGCTCAAGCATAGAACTTTGTTTACGCTTGATCTTTTGTAAAGGGGAAAATCTCATCGACAGCGCAGCTTGTAAAAACTACACACAGTTCTTCATATGGTTTGGGATTTTCATAATCATATTTCGTCACTATGTGTGAGAACACAAGCTCAGTTCCTCATCAGTTGCTTTTCGTTACCGCGCTTGATCGTTGTCTCCTGAGGTATCCTACGCTCCTATATCAGCCTGAGTCATTTTCAGTTTCACCTTGAAGACATCACTCAATTCTGATAACAAAAAAGCTTTGTAATACAAACACCAGTAAGACCAGAAGGGCCATTTCAGGTGATTAAAATGATTGGGACTGTAGTCAAAGGAATGAATTATTACAATGCTGGATTAGGAGTTTTATTTGGAAAATGGTATGCATTTAGATTATTAGATCGTTATTATTATTAAAATGAGCTGGTCTTTACTAGAGTCGTGACAAAATGAAGACTGGAATTTTGTCATTTCTTTCCCCTAATTGTTTCCCAAATTAGTTAACATTTAGTCTAAATAGTTGACAAGACAAGCAGCTTCCTGTCTTTCCCTTAGTGTGCATGTTCATTTATGCGTGTGTGTAAGTGTGTCTATATGTGTGTATGTCTGTGTGTGACTGTAGCATTAGTCAGACCCCCTCCTTTCTCACTGAATCACCACACATAATAATCACATCTCTTCCTCTCCTCTTTGTCTTTCCTGATCTCTTCTTTCGGAGTTTATCTTACATCATTCCAATCCTTTTCTTTCTTTCCTCTTATCATTTCCTCCCATATCTCCTTCTCTTGTGGTAGTTTTTCCCACCACTCCCAGTTTCTACTTTCTCTTTTTTTCTCTTCTTTAACTTTTTCTTATTTGCCTCTTGCTGTCCCTTCTTCCTTTGTGTTGCTTTTTTACTGTCTGTCTCGATTGATCTAGTTTCCTTTTCCTTTCTTCCATCTACTCGGCTTTCTTTCTCTTACTTCTTTCTTTTTTTGTTCTATTTTTGCAATGTCTTTCTTAATTTCAACTATTTTTCACTTGCTGAGCTTTCATTAGTGGAAATATTTAGATAAAAGTGATCAGAAATAACCTTTTTCGCTCCTGCCTTTCCTGTCCAGGCGACCTCTCATAGCTCGGCCATGTTGACCAGTGAGGGGGCGCACACCATGGAGCAGGACGACGCACGCCACGGAGCCAAGATGGCTTCCTCTGCCACCAGCACAGGCTCAGGTGGAGCGGGCACGATGACAGATAACGACGTCGACATGGAGGAAGCAGACATGACACAGTGGACAGAGGCAGAGTTTGAAGAGAAGTGCACGTATATTGTCAAAGACACGGCATGTGAGGCGGGCCCAGACGGTGATGCCATGATGATGTCGACGACCAGAGCCGAGGCTTCGCTGCCCCGTAACTTGGCCTTCAAACACCTGGCTGGCAGCAAGGAGGTCAGACTCTCTCTCACACTCACAAACGCACACACACGGGCACATGCTGGCAGACAGACAAACTTTCTCTCCAGCCAGAATATTTCATACACATTGAGGCAAAGAAAGGCATCTGTACATACACACAACTGTGAGTCAGACATGGGTCATGTAATAAAAAAGGGGTCAGGTCTCGTAAAACTTCACACACACACACACACACACACACACACACACACACACACACACACAGAGGCATTTATGTGTGCGTGGGTGTGTGAAACATCAGAAACAGATTTGACTTACAGTGCTGTTTTATCAGCTTGTATCTATCCATGAAAAGGATTGTGTCATCTGAGAAAAATTATGGTGCCTTGATCGCAATTGTTTCAAGTCATAAAACTACTTGAAATACCGAACCATGCAGGCAGGGGGCACCATCGAGCCTCTCATCCAACACAGTGCATCAGACTGTTTCCATCTGCTCGTCTTAAAACTGCTGAATGAGAAAGTGTCAGAGTGTGATTTGAGCTTTGATCACTCAAATGCTTCATATGAAGCATTTGACGATTTCCTGTACTGTAAATATTTCTTTACTAACCAATCGCCCACTACATGATTATAGATAAGCTTAAAGTAATAGACTTTTTTTCACTGATCTAACTGGGGGTGGCAAAGTCAAAATGTCAACAGGCAATGGATGAAACTTGATAACAGGGAGAGTGCACAGAACCACCATGACTCTTAGAGTGATAAGAGTGGTTTGCAGCAGCAAAGGGTTAAAAAGCATTTAATAATGTTCCAGAAAACAATCAGATATCCAAGTGACTAAGAGCAAAAATAAGTAATTTTTAAAAAAGCTTGTTTCCACTTTAGGGATTGTCACAGATAGGATATTTTAAAGTAGAAAAGCCACAGCACTTCTATGCTGTGTTTCAAGGTATTTTAAAGATGCATGACTGTCGCTCAGAAAATGTCAGTTTTGGCACTTGGGAGGTTCCCAGTAAAGCTGTGTGATGTCATTGATTTTTTTCACCAGGCGATTAGCAGTGGGAAGCTGAAGAGAACTTTACAAGCTGATATTCAATCAGATAATATTTAAGAGAGGGAAAAAAGGTAAGGCTGAGGATGGCAGCTTCTAGAAAGAAAGCTATATTATGTTCAAAGTGAGAGAGAGAGCTTTGTAAAAGCCTGTTAATAAGTTGGGTTTTTTTTAATCACATGCTAACACATTTTCATGTCTGGTCCTATTGAGAGAAAAAGGGAAAAATGGGGATTTCCCATGTCATCAGGGAACGAGGGGGTTTGGGAAAGACTTCTGTTTGTGTGGGTTAAGCATGAAGAAAATGTGTGTGAGTGCATTTCTCTACCATCCATGGCTGGAGCCAAACGTCTAGTCACCACATAATCCCTTGCTTTTCTTCTTCTTCCTTTTCTTCTTCTCACCTCTTGCTCTTTGATTGAATCAGATGACAGAGTGAGAAAAAAGGAGAAACACGGTTGTTGGGTTTTTTTTACCCAAGTATCTGAATGTTTCCTCTTGAAGCATGTGAAGTGGCGGTGGTTTTGGTTTGATGTGGCAAGCAGTAGAGGTGTAAGGAGAGAGACAGAGGGAGAGACTCGAAGAAAGAGATTTTAGTTTTGTCTTCAGCCATTTGCAGTCACACACCAACACAGACGCTCCAGATGAACTCAAGTGTGGAGCTGGTTCATTAATCATTGTCTCTGTTGACAGCTGGTTGACGCTGTGTGTCTGAGTCTGTATTTGAAATAAGACTTAATGAGACTTAATGATATGTACTACAGATGGCTGTGCAGATATTATGAAAACACATATTCCACACACCTGAACGTCCTCTTCAAACATTTCAGACTTCATCATCATCATCACCCAATCCACTTCAAACATCCTGTTTGGCCTTGACGTGTTTTTTCCTAACCTGTCTATATGTGCGTGTCATCGTGCAGGTGGCTGGCGTGTGCAGCAGGGAGTACATCCCCAAAGGAACTCGCTTCGGTCCCCTGGTGGGCGAGATCTACACGGCTGACAGCGTCCCCAAAGACGCCAACCGCAAATACTTTTGGAGGGTGAGCACAAACATCAAAGATACACACAACAGCAGAAACACATACTTCCTCAGAAGCCGGAGAGACCCCTTCCTGTGACGTCACGCACATCTAAAGTCAGTCACCGAACAGGAAATTGGGTTTGCTGTTTTCTGTGTGTGTGTGAGTGTGTGTGTGAGTCTGTTCAAGGAACGGAGATGAGGATGTGATGTCAGCGTATACAAATAGCATGTCACGCTGCCGTTCCTGTAAGTCCACACACACTGACACACACTGTTCGCCAGAAGACGCTCCATCACTACCAGTAACTGACAGTGCGACTGCACATACTCAAAAACCATCTACCTGACCACCGCCTACACAGTGTGTGGTGTGTGTGTGTGTGTGTGTGCGTGTCTGTGTGTGTAGTATGTGAACCTAACCACAGTTCCATTCATGCTCATATCTCACTTTCTCACACACACACACACGCCAAGCCAAGAAAAAAACGAGTTATTAAGACAGAGAACGAGAGAGACAGAGAGAGAAAGGGGGAGGAGAGGCAGAAAATGAGTTGGTCTTTCCTTTCCCTTTTCAATATAAAAGAGGATCTCCTCCTCCTCACCACTCTCTGTCTGTCTCTGTCTGTTCTTCTGGCTCAAAGAGATGAAAGTGAAGAGAGGGAGATGGTAAGGAATGAAACCATTAAGAAAGAGACAAGAAAAGATTTAAGATGTATGTATGTGATGCAGTTTATAACCAGTGGTGTCTGCTTGGTGGCAGCTACTTCTTTGCTACATGATAAGTAAATTATTTTGCTTTATTACTTCAATCAAGTATTCTGACAAACATGCAGCTGTTTTTACTTGTTTAGTTGTTTTCTGACTGATTTTTTTTATCGATGAATTGCTTCTTTACCAGCATTTTAGCCAGTTGTTTAACTTCTTCTCCTAATTTTGCTAGTTCACTATTTTAATTAAGCGATAATGTTACTTATTTAGATATTTGCTTTGTTAGCTACTTAAATTAACGGACCTGTTTATTCATCAAATTGCTAGCATTGTAATTAAGATGTAATAAGTGAAGGAAGGGGTGAAATAAGAGTGAAATAAGTTTTTTGCATGTTACTGCTTTGTTTCTTCTCATAAGACCTGAATAAGCATAAAAAAGGAACAAAGGACAAGGGATTTATATTATTCTCCCTTTTTTCTGTTAAATTAACTTCAGTGTAATCTTACATTCAGGTAAATTAACTCACTATTATTTTTTTCTTCCTCTCTCTTTTCAGATTTATGTGGACGGAGAGTTTCATCACTTTGTCGATGGCCTGGATGAGACTCGCTCCAACTGGATGCGGTATGTGAACCCGGCCCACTCGGCAGCAGAGCAGAACCTGGCGGCGTGTCAGAATGGCATGGAGATTTACTTCTATACTGTGAAGCCTGTCCCAGCTGGTGCCGAGCTGCTTGTCTGGTACTGCCACGACTTTGCCCGACGCCTGCACTACCCACCGTCTGGGGAGCTGATGATGCAGAAACTTAGTAAGTTCCCGTGATTTGACATTTTTTGAAACCACAAAGTTGATGAGTAGAAGTAGTGACATTCACTGGAACATTAATCATTAATTTTTCTTTCTGAAGTTAAACCTAATTTGTTATCTGACATCTCGTGTGGTTAAAACTTACTACAGCATTCACTTGCTGTGAAAGAGCAGCATGCATTATTACTCGCCTGATGCACTGACCACCGCACATAAAAAACATGAAATCAATAGTCAGTGTAGGTGTGTTTGTCTTGACTGTGTCCTGTCGCCGCTCTTAAACCCTAGCAGTGTTTTTGAATATAGCTGTGTCTCCTTCCTCTCTCAACATTAGCCTGTCATTATCTCTCACACACACACACACACACGCACACACACACACACACACACACACACACACACACACACACACACACACACTCAAAAGTACAAGACCAACAACCTTTCATCTCTGTCAGTATCATCGTTGTATTTTTGCTTGTGTGTGTGTGCTAGTGACAGTGTAATTACACAGACAGGGGATACGGCCCCTAATGCCACAGTCTTACACGCTTAAAGACCCGCTTTTAACATAAAAGCTCGCACACACGTGCACGCACAAAACCTTGCTCAACCTCTGCAGAAGAGTCGGAGAGTGCGTTTGCTTGACTGCGTGTTTTCGGTGACCTTTTGACGGGAAAAACTTGCTCTCATAAGAGAATATGCAAAATGCACATTAACAAGTATTAAAAAGAGTTCTCAAATATTTGTGCTTTATTTCATACTGATGGTATTTAACTAATCAGTCTAACCAATAAAAAAGCTTAATCTCAACCTTTAAACACGGCCGACTAACTACGCTCATTCACTGTAGTTGAGCTGATCAAAGGGAGACCGAGCTAAGAGGAAAACAAAGGCAGAGAGTGGGAGCTGAGTGGTTTCCAGGTGTGACTGCAGGCTAATAGTAGTGTTAAGCTGGCAGAGGAACTAGCACACCCAGCCAGAGTGACTCCACTGCCCAGGGAAAAATGCGCATGACCTGGGGCACAGAGGCAGGAGGTACCCACGATCCCTTTGCCTGCCTCCCCTCCCCGCAACTCAGCGTGTATACAGTAGAAGTGTTGCCTTTAATTAGGTTCCCCTGTCAGTTAAGCCCCACAGGCTTTGTTGACCTACCAGTGACTTGAATACCGATTCTTACCTGCAGCAGAAACAGTTGTTTCATTTGACTCCATTTTTGTCCTGGAGCTACCACACAAGTTTCTAGCCCTTTTTCATTTTTTTTTTTTTTACTTCTACTGATCTTTCATTCCTAAAATGAGTAAAACATTTGACTGTTGGTGTTGCCCACTACAGTTAAGCTTTACAAACGTTGTCAGAAATAATGTCATTGGCTGAGTAAAACGAAGAAGAAAAACCACAATCTTTCTGACTAAGTAACGTTAAACTGAAACTCAGTTAAAAGGGCAAGAGGTAAAAGAAGAGGAAGCTGCTTTGCTGAATTTTAATAGTCATGCTGCGCACCGAATGTGATACCATTAAGTCATCGAAGTTTATTGGTGATTTTAGTCTATTTAACGTTGCTTTACCGGCATCGACTGCTGTAAAATATTGTTATTTTTCACCGATTTGTTGCTTGAGGAAGTGGACTCATTTTGTTCGCTACTAATGCAAGTAGATGCGCCCGAAATGAACCGCTTAAATACTAAATAAGTTCCACGTTTTGGTAGGGTAGCTAGCTAATGCAAATCTAGGCACTAGATAACCATTATAAACTAACTCTTTGCAATAATTTGGTAGCCTACCCACTAGATTATTTTGGGGCTTTCAAACCGTTTCATTTTTAGAGAAATTAGTCTACACTGCAAAAACTAAAATCTCTGATACCGCCCACTAGATTCTCATCAAAGTTTTGCGTTTTGCTCGTTGTAAAATGTTACATGTGTCCTTAAGGAGGCACTAGAGCTTCTGCTCCGAACCGAGCGACAACCTGTATTATATTCCCGAGGAGCGCAACGATGACAGTTGTTTGTATCATATTTTTCTTTCTGGTTTTAGCTCTTTCTAGCGCAGTCATAGCAAAACCAGACATATGTATGTGTTTAAGTGTGTGAGCAAAATGAGTGAGCATGCACCACAGTTTTACTCCCTCACTTTCTCCTTTTTCTCTTTTTGTCGCCGTCATATGCGCTCTTGAAGTGTTAGCGCTGGAGAGCACCTGTCATCCATGTGTGTGTGTGTGTGTGTGTGTGTGTGTGTGTGTGTGTACATGCGTTGTGTTCAAAGACACTCTCTCTTCCCACACACACGCACACAGTCGGGAGCGTGACATGCCACCATATTTATAGCCACCCTTTTCACCTCAAACACATGCACACAAGCTTGCTGCTCATGTGTGTGCGAGCGTGTCAGCCAATCACGCTGATATATTTGCCACTTAAAAAGACTAGAAAGAAGGTGGAGGAGGGAATGAGAGAGGTAGAGTTGCACCTCCTACCCCCCTCTGTTGACTACTTGAACTTCCTGGCAGAAGGGCCGTGTTGACAGATTGATATCTCCAAGATGGCTGCCCTGTTTGTTTTTCAGAAGAGGGATGGAGGGAGGAGGTAGAGAAGGAGGAGTAAGGCTAACTGATAACCTCAGTGTTTACACACTGTCGCTATACTGCTGACAAAAGGGTCACTGACTATGTGTGCAACTGTGAGTGAAGGGCTGAATCAGGAGGAGTTGAGCAAATTTCACCAGTACTGGCACTTAAGATTAACTTTGACATGCTCCGTCTCTCTCAAACACACACACTTGCAATCACACACACGCATGTCCCTCTGGGCGACCTCGTAGTAAAAACTTGACTGCCCACTAAATGAGCTTATAGGTAATACACAACGGCATTTTAAGAGCCCATCTGTGGCAATTTAACAGCCGAGATGTGCTGCGAACTGACATCCCGGGGCTTTTAGAGTGTATGTGAGTGAGCTCGCCTCCTAATCTACTCTTTCATCATACTGAGAAGACAGTAGGTGCGAGTGAGTGAGGAGGAAGCGCTTTAATTTAACCTTTGACCCGGAAACAATAGCAAGTGGCCAGGAAAATGAGGAGAGCAGGAGCTTGATCAAACGTGTGTGTGTGCTGTCCAAAAGTGGAAGAGTCAACAAATCAGACAGAGGCCTTTGTCTGGAGGCGCCTCTGTGTGTGTGTACCTTGTCACATGGTGTAGGTGTGTGTATGTGTGTTTATGGAGGGCAGGTGGAGGCCAAGTTTTTTCTTAGTATATCTTTAGCAGGAAACCTTCCATCAGCCCTCTCTGTCGGTCTGCCACCATTTGATTTTATCTTGATTTTATAGACACACACACACACAGAATGCCTAAAGGGAGCTGTCACACCTCACTTCCCGTCTTTTGGCCCCACACTCGTTCGTCAAATCTGTCACGCTAATTGCCCCACTGAGTTACTAATGGTGTTTCTTAACACAAAGTTGCACACATCTCTACTACAGAGATTTTTATGTTCTTATAAAGAAGTTGTGATTTAAATGCCAAATGTTTTTAAAATCATTTTTTTGATTTGACAAACCCCTCCCTGACATTTTTTTCTCTGTCTGTCCCTTCAGAGCAGTCTATTTTGGAGGTAAAGCAGCAGCAGGTGAGCAATGAGGAGCATGTGCAAGAAACATCCAGCCCGTCCCCTGTCGCAGTGACCCCCACCCCACCAAAGAAAGAACACAGTGTTCTTTCTATTCTGCGTGGCACCTCATCTTCGTCGTCCACAAAGAGGGAGCCCAACAGGCCGCTTCCCACACGTCCACGCTGTGCCGACAGCCCCGATCGTCTCCTGTACCCTCGTGCCCTCTACCCACCTCTCAGGGCCCACCCTCAAATATCTGAGGACTTCCTCAATCACAAAGCTGCCCGCCTTGCTTACCCCTCAACTCACTCGCCTGGCAACCAATCCTCAGCCACACCTAGCCCATCAGCAAGGAGCAGCCCAGAGAGCAGCCCTCACGGAAGCCCCTCTGGTGCAGCACCATCGCCTGCTTCCTTCTATCCCACCGGACTGGGAACCTATCCTGGTTATTCCCCACCGTCTGCCCCCCTCTCCTCTCCCTTCTACCCTCCAGGGGCCCCTTACTCACGTTATCTTATGCCCCATCACTATCCTCTCCCTGGTGGTGGCATCCCAACTGTAGGAGGAATCTTTCCCAGGATGTATCCCCTCTACAGCAACCTCCTGCCCCATCATGTGCCCCTCCTGCCTTCTGAAACACAGAGGCGCTTCCTAATACCTGACCCTGTGCACCCCTCCTCCATTTCTGGCCACAGAGACTTCCTCCTTCCAGGGCCCACAAGTGCCTTCTCAGCTGCTACTTCTCTGAGAGACACAACAGGTCCTCACAGCACTTATCCCAGGCACCCTCACTCTCATGGTTCAGCCCACGCTCCCTCCAGCGGCTCCCCGACTGCAGGCACAGCACCTCCCAGTGAGCAGGTGCCCACTAAGCCTACCTCAGCCCTGCTGGGCAACACCAGCGAGCGTTGTCACGATGACGAGGCAATTAACCTGACCAAGGTGAAGCGTGGTGCAGGCTCAGCAGGCTACAAGGCACTGCCTTACCCTCTGAAGAAGCAGAATGGCAAAATCAAATACGAGTGCAACGTGTGCAGCAAGACCTTCGGACAGCTGTCAAACCTGAAGGTAGGTTTTGGCTGTCAAAGTCATGTGTTTTTAGCTTATTATTAGTCCTGCGTGCTTTTTGAATCACAATGTTATCTTTAGCATGTAGAGACGGGTTTTTTTTCTCTTCTTGTCACGCAGGTTCATCTTCGCGTCCACAGTGGGGAGAGACCTTTCAAATGTCAAACCTGTAGCAAAGGTTTCACTCAGCTGGCTCACCTGCAAAAACACTACCTGGTCCACACTGGGGAGAAGCCACATGAATGTCAGGTGAGAAAATATCACATTTATTGCTTTACCAGAGTGCTAATGAGCATAGATGACTGTTAACTGGTGGGTTTCTACAGGGTTCTGACAGGGTTTCTTTTTTTGCTTCTCATCATTCAGGTTTGTCACAAGCGCTTCAGCAGCACCAGCAACCTGAAAACTCACCTGCGCCTTCACTCAGGGGAGAAGCCCTACCACTGCAAACTCTGTCCTGCTAAGTTCACCCAGTTTGTCCACCTTAAGCTGCACAAGCGCCTGCACTCCCGCGAGCGTCCACACAAATGCCCCCACTGCCATCGTCACTACATCCACCTGTGTAGCCTGCGACTTCACCTGAAGGGCTATTGTTTGGCTGCAAGCTCCAGCTCTGGAAGCCCAGCCATTTCAAGCCAGATTGCCTTGGAGGAAGTGCACCGCGCCAATGAGGAGATTGAGCGCTTTGACATCAGTGAACACGCTGAGCGACTGGAGCAGTTGCAGGGAGGGGTGGAGATGGAAGCCATGTTGGAGAAGCAGGTTTTGGGGATGCTGTGGAGGGAGAGTGACATTAAGTCGTCAAACTTCCATCCCCACCACAAGAGTAAAACCACTGAGCTTCGGTCTGCAGGTTATGGTGCGTACGAGTCCCCAAACGAGACGTCGGTCATCAAGATGCGGCACAGCAGTCCCATCCCCCCACTTCCTGCCAACATAACTGTCAAGCAGGAATCAGAGGATCACGCTTAAGTGACCTTTTTGCACCTGAGAGACATAGAGCCAAGACTGCATGGTGGACTGGGTTGCCAGGAGCAACAACTGTAAATATGTCTACCTGGTTGTCATGAGTAGTGACATCATGACCACTCCAGGGTTTAAACCTTTCAGGGACTCACGTACTCAGGGCTGCACTGTCCCATGACTACTTAATGGTTTCAGCATTTATTATACTTAGAGACAATCATGTACACAGGATTTACCTGTAATGTTATTAATATAATGCTTTTATCATTGTTGTTCTTGTATTATTTTATTTTTAATTTCAGATGTCCGTGGGGTTTTTTGATCGTTTTGTTGTTATATACTTAATTTATTTTACTTTTATTTGTTGTCTTCAAAAGCAATATGTGGGATGGTTACATTGATTTTCTATAGTTGTTTTTTTTCTGTGGCCATTTCTTTGTAGATAGTCACGCTCCCTATGCATATATCTGTCTTGTGACCTCTGACCTATAGAACCAGGGGTATCCATTCTTCAGGGTTTTACCTATTTAAATGTAGAAATCAATAATAGCAGGTTGAAAGGCTTAAGAGAGCTTGCCAAAGCGTGGCAGAGCAATTTGTTAATTTAGAAAGAAGACGTTTAACTCAGCCCTGCTTAATAACTTCTCTACGCCCTTTTCTGATGCCTACTTAATTTAAATGAAACAAGAAAGGGCATTTTTTTTGTATATTTTTCACAACGGTTACCTCAGTGTGGATGCGATGAGTGTGTGTCTGTGTGTGTTTGCATTTAAAAGGACAGCTGAAGATGGGAGTTTTGTATTTATTTGCTTTCTTTTGCTACTTGAAGAAGAAGAACCAAATTGAACTGGAGTGCAGCTCTTCATGTGGTCCAAAGAAGAGGCACAGCCTGCTCAACGTGTAGCACATAACAGACTTGGGAGGCTGGTAAGCCACCTCCGTTCCCTCGTCCCTCCTCTTGTTTTGTTTTATCTTCTATTTAACGTTGTCAACACCCAACAGAGGTGTGAACGTCCTCACATTTAGGGATTTACAGTTGACACCAGAAACCAAAGTTCGCTTGGCTTTCATTTTAAATGCGCACCAAAAAAAATGGAAAGATCCAAACAAAGGAAGGACTTGAGAAATCAAAATGCTGAAGAAGTGAAGGGATGATGTATTTTGTGTACATGGTGAGGTGTTCACTCTTTAGCTGTGGTCTTTCGTTGTGTTTCATGTTTTTGATTTTATTGTTGTTAATGTTATTTGTTAATACTTTGGTTGAGAAACAATGGCCCATTTCTTCAACCCTGCCCGTCCACTATCTTGTTACCGAACTGGCCTATACCAAAGCACCTCGGCGTTCCTTCATGCACTGGCCCCCTCGTCCTACTTTATATCTTCAGTGCCGATGCTCACACCATTCACACTTTGTACAATATATATGATACTGGTCATCATGGCATTAAGACCCAACTTAATGTTACTACAACGGTGCAACTGTGGTTTTCGTTAGCAGTTACACGCCAACACCCTGATCTCCATAGCTTCCTCCTCTGTTTCATCGTCTTTTTCTCTAACTAATGTTCGACCAAAGCGTGTCTTTCTTCGTTCAGAGCTTTAACTCCAGAGGAGATACCCCTGAAAACTGTCTCTGTTTACATTCTGTTTACATAGTTATTTATGAGCGAATATGTCAAAATGTGTAAATTATGATATAAATCTTCACTGTTGAAATCTAAACGATATGGTTCTGTGTGTTTTATTTTAATTTGGGGGTTGAAAAAAAAAAACATTAACTATACATGAACTGTACAGAAAATCTGATAAAAGGTGAATAGCAATGCTTACCTTTTATAATTATATTACTATCTGAATTTATAGCTGTATGTGCTGTAATTGCAGCATATATTTAATCACCAAAAAACACTTCATACAATCTACTTGAAAGTACATCACTATATATCCACAAGTTATATTCCTGCCTAAAAGAAGCAGACAAAGCTACTTACAATTGCTTTTATGGGCCAAATTAATGTATAACCTGAAACTTTAAATCTATCTTCAAAGTATAAACTGAAATTTTGATCTAATGTCTCCTGAGCTTCTGGAAATTTGTCAATTTTGTCTATAAGAAATTGAAAATCTATTATAATTCTTGACTGAGTTAAAATAGGTGCAATTGCAAACATCTGTTACTTAATATCTGAATAGATGTATATGACTGGAGACTGCAAAACCCCAGAGCTTTCAAGAGGCTATAAAAGCCCATCACCAATACTTTCTCACTTTATTTGCCTGATGTCTGGAGTGAGTGAGGTAGACACAGGCACAGACAGAGGCGAGGAGACTGAACTTGAGTTGCAAACCAAAAACAAGTGACAGCTAACTGAAAACCTACACTGGGAAAAAATTAAGATAACAGAGACGATACAGAGGAACTATGCTGACTAGATAGAACGAGGTAACACAGACGATGTGACACTGAACACAGGAAGACTGAGGACTTAAATACACACATGAGGTGATCAGGAGAAGTGTCGACACATGAGGACACAGCTGACTCCAATGAAACATAATGACAACACAGTGGAGAGTAACACTGGAAACACTAACATGAGACATGGACCTTCAAAGTAAAACAGGCACAGACTAGACATTGAACTAAACTTAAGGGCAAACTTTTAACCAGAATAACACTGAAACTTGGGATTATAATATTCAAAACAGGACAACTAATGAACCACAATACAGAAAAATACCAAAATACAAGAAACTGAAAATGCTGGGTCAAAATGACCCAGAACCGTGACAATGTGACTTAAGGCACTGCGAGGTCCCTCAGACTCCTTAACACCTATGAGCTGGCACAGTTTACTTTTAATATCTGGTAAAGGTACTTTTCTGTAATTTTCAGAAGGACTTTGCTACAGTACATTTCCCTCAAACAGTACACATAAGCACACAGTCAGATACATGTTCTTATAACTGTTCGTGCATACTTATATACATGCATTTAAAGAAAATCTAATCTACAAAAATGAGTCAGGATAAAGCTATTCTCAATGTTTAGTCCTGACGTGTGCAAAAGCAGACACTGAGACCTCGGAAACGATGACACAGGCACCCATGTTCTTGGTTTTGAGTGGGCCTTTTAAAGCAGTGTGTGTCCTTTTCTTGATTTGTCACAGTGCTTCTTTGGGACAGTTAAATGAGTATGACCACGTATTGTGTATATGACTGTTGACTGGTCATGCATTATGGTTTTCAGGTGGCTTAGTATGACATATGGAGATTACAGAGATCACTTTTGTTTTAAAACATAATAATGCTGATGTAGCCCCTTTCTTGTTTGTATATTTAAGATGGTGACCTCACACTGCACATTTCCGACCACAGCCCTGCTCAACTTCAACCTGAGTAAAGGTCTAACCATCCAGATTAACTGAAAACACCTGCATGTGTATGTGTGTGTGAGAGTGACTGTTACTTTCATTACAAGCAGAGCTCAGTCATAGATGAAACCCATCAAGTAAGAGCAGTAAAAGATGACGTCTGAACATTAGGGGAAAGGACAGCCTAAAGAAAAGCATTATGTTATGCAAACAGCTGAAAAATCATCACAGGCTACATTACTGTTTTTAATAATTTTGTTTTTTTGCACCATATCAACTCACTCATTCGAGCTTTTATCACTGAACCTGCAGTAAAAGTGGAAAGCCATGAATCTTTATGTCTATTTCCGTGCAATGCCAAGCTTTAAGACTAGAGCAGGAAATGGGAACACAGTTCCCAGTGCCCTATGGGCTGCACTAACTGTGGTCTGTCTTTTATCCTGCCATGCAGGAGACAGGCAAACAAGTGAGTCATTTTTTTAGATCTTAAACTCAAAGCTGTTTTCAGAAATCCACCACAGCCTTAAACTTTTCTAGACATAGAGCTGCATGTGAGAACGCAATGATCTGGACTGGATCAGACAATAAAAACAGTCTGTAACCTTCCAGCTCTCTAGCACAAAGCCCATGTGATAATCATAACAAATTTACAGTGGCCGAGTGGGGATCATATGTCCTGTCCGGAGGAGCTAACCCGCACGATAATGACATGTATTTAAGTGAGTGAGTATTTCCAGTAATGAGAATCTCTTTGAGGTGTTTTATTGAAAGGGTGACTAACGATAGTGTTAAATAAATCAATATAATTCAGTACATGGTTTATTGGAGTGCCATATGTGCTACATGTTAGAAAAAGAAAATTCTTATGTTTTAATATATTCGTTTTTATGTTGTGACAAGTGACATTGTTGTGATAGTACAGTGTGGTTTTTGCAATCTCTGTGTGATACTAAAATAAGTCAGAGCATCCCATTTTCAAGTCAGCAAGTTTACTCACTGTATGAAATCACATAACTGTGTAACACATGGAGTGCTAAGGACAACAGACTACCTGTTAGTACCAAATAATGAAGAAGGAAAACATTTTTATGTTACAGGACAAGGACAGTACAGTCTGTACAAAAGCAGTAAGGTCAACCAACAAGTTTTGGCTGTCTTAAGGGAAAACCTAATGGGTCTGGTATATAAAAGATAAACGTATACATGACATCATCAACAAGTGTGTGGACTTGTGTTTCTGGAGCGTTGGAGTTTGGAACTGAAGCTTTTCGGTTTTTGTTTTGTTTTCTTTTTTTGTGGCTCCAGATGTGACCATATTTAGCTAAGCTGGAAAATTGCTAATTAATTAGCTAATGCTAATCAGCAAAGTGCATCCATAAACTGTAATAGTACGTCACAGATGTCTTGTGTGGTCTGAAAATCACCTGCATTTAAAATCCAAAATACCCAATACATTGCAGAGAGGTCCATTTTGGTTCAGTAGACTTCATTGCTAGCTAGCAGCTAGCTGCCTATCCTGGCACCTCTTGACACTCAAAGCAGCAACACCTACATAATGCTTTCCATTTACTTTGGAAACTGAAGCTGGCAGTGACATCACTCCTGAATTGACCAAGTTCGAGTACTAGTAATCAGAAAGTAGAAAAAAAAAAACAGGGTTTGTTTTGCTCCTTTTCAAGACAGAGCCATTCATCCGTCGCTAGCAATACAATGCAATGCCTGCTGCAGCATGTTCACAGACAATGCCGGGTCAGTAAATGGCTAAATTACTGAGTCGCAAATACTGACCAATGGTCGCACAGAAAAGCTGCAAGTCCACCATCTTGGACTGTGAGATTGCACTTTGTTGGGTCTTCTTTGACATTCAGAGTGGGAAATTCAGGGGCATTCCTGTTGAAAATATGACACAGAAGTTGTGATTTCTTATGTTAAAAATACACACCCTGTACATTTAAACAGTAAAGTAGTTACTGGCGAGAGGAAATACATTTTTTGTAGTATGCTAAACATATGAGAATTTTTGCTGAAAAGCAGAAGTGGACATAAGAGGATTTGCAGTTTTTGGCAACTCCACACTGGCTTTATTTTTCATTCCTTGAGCATTTTGGCCCTCCACCATGTTTAATGCTGTAAAGGGATTATTACTGATTAATGCTGTTTTCTGACTTTTACACTAGTAGGTTTTTCAGTCACTCAATTTACAGAAATATACACCCAGAGGCTCGCGGTTTAAACTGTATTTTCTGCATGATGAAATAATGAGTTTTATCTTTTACTGAAAGATCACAGACCCATGTAAAATGTGATTAAAGTTTATGTTTCCTTTCAATTGAGATAAATGGTAGTTGAACGAGGGCGGAATATGAAGTTTTGGGCCGATAATAAACAATAATATGAATGAAACGTTTATGAAATACATTC